ACTTATTGCCCCCAGGTGTTTCAATCGGTAATGGACCGCAAATATCTGAATGTATTAGCTCAAGTTTCTCCGAAGTTTTTGAGGATACCTCTTTACTGAATTTGTTCCGCGTTTGCTTGCACTCCATACACTCTCTACATACTTCGTCTGGAACACACATATGAGGAATACCAACTATCATTTTCTTCTGTCCAAGTTCTCTCAAGTCCCAAAAGTTAAGATGTGCAAATTTGAGATGCCACAGTCATTCGCACTTGTCACTGACAACAGTAAAACATTGATGCTTCAAAGCATCCATCTTAACCTGAAAGGTTCGATTGGAGGACAAACTAGCATGTATAACCAGCTTCTGGGTTTGATCAAATACACGTAAGGAATTATCTTCAAGTGTCATCTTGAAACCTCTTTGCATCAACTGGCCCAAGCTCAGAAGTTTTGATTTCAACCCGGACACATATAGAACATTTTCAATTATCACGTTCTTGCCATCACTGTTTCGCAACACAACTCTACTAGTTCCTTTTGCTGTGAGAAAACTATTATCTGCGAAACGTATCTTTTCTTGACTTACATCACTTATTTTTACGAACCAATCTTTCTTCCCGGTCATGTGCGTGAAGAACCCAAAGTCCAAGTACCACAAATTTTCACCGTCGAGCTTCACATCTGTCTCCGCCATCAACATGACAGCCTCTTCATCAGAATTTTCTTCCTCTGCAAGATGAACTCGTGCATTCTTCTTTGGTCTATTCTTGGCTCTGTCACCATCCCAGCAGTCTCGTGCATAATGCCCGAATTTTTGGCAGTTATAGCACTTGACTTTTTTCTTGTCATACTTCTTCTCTTTATCTTCTCCAGAATTTTGTTTCTGGTCTTTCTACTTCTGCTCATCCGAATCTCCCTTCTTCTTTGTCTTAGTTCCTTTCTTGGAATCTCTTTTTTGCTTTCCATTTGTTCTTGCATGAAGAACCTGCTCTTGATAGGATCTTCGCTCAAACATGCGCAACTCGTGGGCTTCGAGCGACTGTTGCAGCTCCTGGAAGGTCAGTGCATCCAGATCTTTCGTCTCTTCAATGGTAATTACAAGATGATCAAATCTTGGAGGAAGTGACCGCAAAACCTTGTTCACGATATTCTGTTCAGACACTTTGTCACCGCAAGAACGCATGTCGTTAACAAGTTCTTGAACCTTGTTGAGGAACCCAACCACCGAGTCACTTTCTTCCATGATGAAGAACTCAAATTGCTTTCGCAGAGCCTGCAACTTCACTTTCTTATGTTTATCCCCTGCACCATACGTAGCCACCAAGATATCCCACGCTTCTTTGGTTGTGCCCGCCATGGAAATCCTATTAAAGATCGGTGAGCTAACACATTGATAGATCAAGTACCTTGCCTTGCCATCTAACTTTTGTTGAATCTTGTAAGCCTTCTTATCATCCTCAGTAGTCTTCACACCCGGTGGTGAAACACCATGCTCAACAACTTCAGCCACATCTTGAAAGATGAAGATCGCATTCATCTTAATCTTCCAATCGTTGAACATGCTACCATCAAAGATAGGTAGACCCCCTTGTATCATCCCACCCATATCGGTCATGCTACACCACGAACCAGATCAAGAATGCACAAGAACCTTTCTTGATTACAAACCAAGACACCACTCTTTCCACTCTCACTAAAAAAATGCACTCTCACTAAACTGCACCACACACAACGTCTGATTTGGTTACAGGCACACATAACTCACGTCCTTGGATCGTAAAGAGCTTTTGATACCATGTAGATGGGAGAGCTACTGATAGAGAATGAAGATTTTCTCATATTATTGATGTATGAAAACTGTGACGTTTATATACACTGAGAATAGAAATAACAGACTAAACAAAAAACGCAAAAATAAATTTCATGCACGTAACCATGCCCCATGCACGTAACCATGCCCCGTGCATTTTGACTTAAATCTCAACATTGAAGACGAATTTTACAAGTGCATGAGTGACTGATCAATTTATACATGTTGTTAAATTATATCGTATTCCAAAATTTCAAATTGTAATAAGACTTTCCTTAGTAATTTATAGCAGCATTTGTTCAAATGTCAATGAACACAACATATTATCTTAAGATGGACAATATTTTCGAGGAGATTAATAATGAGACTCGAATTAAGTATATAAGAGAATATGTGACATTATTTTTCTCTGCTGTAAATTATTCAATCTTTTTATTTCTAATAAACATATAACTTCAAATTCATATTTAAATTCTCAACAAATTATTAAATTGTTGCATATGTTTTGTTTTTTATTATCCTAATTGTTGATTAAAATTACTTATTGTTGAACAAATGGGTAGAGTTGTTTATTTTTTCATTGCTTCCTTCCACTAACATTTATTTTGTCTTTCATGTTTATCTTCTCTAGAAATAAGTGTAAATTTTTTATTGTTTAATTAAGTAAATTTATATTTTAGTACGAAATGAACTATTTAAACATCATCTAAACTATTATAACTTTTCCTTAGAAATGCTAATTCTTATACTTATATTAATTATTAAATAATTAAGATACAATGTATTTTAATTAGAGATCATTCACACACAATTTGTATTTTTAATATAATTTATAATATTTAAAGTAAATTGCAAAAATATCAAAAGTACAAAAAGTAAATTATTGGAAAAAAATTTGCAACAAAAGATAAATATAAAAAGAAATTAAATTGTATAAACGTAAATCTAATATATTATCAAAGATAAAACATGAATTGATAAAGAAAATTAATAAAAATGATTATCCAAATTGAAAAAAAAAACTCCATTACAAAAATATATTTTTTTCTTGTTCGTAGGATTTTTTAAAAAATTAACCTTTTTTTATAATTTGAAAGTCATATTTATTATATTTATTTTACTTTATTTATATTTTTCTTCTATAACTGTTAAAACATTTAAATATAAAAAATAAAAAAATAAAATTATAAATAAAGTTAAATAAAATACATAAAATATAAATAAATTTTACAAATAATTAATTTTCTATTCCTCGACTCACTTTAATAATTATTTTTTTACATATTTTTAAATTATATAATATTATATTGATATTTTGTTCTTTTTATTCATAACTCTTTAGACTTATCTTTTTAATTTGATTTCTCATTTATTTAACCCAATATTTTTTTTAGGATAATACATGCCTTCAAATCTTTTCTAAACCTTCTTATGGTTTTAATTGATGAAATTAATTGTTACTCAACTCTTACATATTCATCACATTATGCTTAGATTTACATTACTATCTATTATATAAAATTTGTCAAAGTCATATGTATTTTACCTAATTATTTTATTTTTTTTAATATCAATCAAGCTTTTGTACACATATCTCATTTTAAAAAAAATTATATTCCCTACAATATCTAATCAATTTACTTGTATATAAAATTATGGAAAATTTATGTTTTTGTCGTTTATATATTTTAAACTTATCTTTTAATTTTATATTTATAAATTAGGTTCTTAAACTCTTATCTTAAACATATGTTATTTTATTTATTTTTTATATTTAAATTAAATTTTAATAATAATTTTTCATCCCAATAGAATTGATGAAATATTAAATATAACTTTAATCGTTCTATACACTTAAATTTAATATTTAGTAGGTTTTTTATTATATTAAAATTAATACAAGGTTTAAAGTTATATATTTTAAAAATTTGAATGATTAATTATCAAAATATAAAAAAATAAAATCAAGTTTGACAGTTAAAATATAATACCAAAATTATATTTAATTATAAAAAAGATAGAAATAGTTTAATATTTTATGAGATAGAATAGGATATAAACAGACTATCAAAACGAAACACAGGCTTTTAGGGTTGGTTGTGGGTGGTTTCAATTTGAAGCAAATCCTTGCCTGTGTGTGCGAATTCATCGTCGTTTTCTGTTTCGATCTCGGTCGAAGGTACTCTTTTACTCTCTCTATGACTCGTTGCTTTCGATTGTAACTCCTTCTTTTCCTGTGGTGTGGTTTAGATTATGAATTGCTCTTCGAGTTTGTTGGTTGAAGAACTCGTGAACCTAAATTTGATATATATCAGTAGTTTTTGGGGGTGTCCGTCGAGAAAATTTGATGATTTATGTCTCTAGAAAATAGGTTGTTGTTTAGGTTTTGAGATGAGGGGAAATGTTTTGCCATGTATTGCTTTTAGTCTACCTTTTAGTATTGATGTGGATAAGCTGCTAGCTACCTGCAGAGAGTTTTCTTCTTTTAATTTTTTGAGTATATATATATATATATATATATATATATATATATATATATATATATATATATATATATAATATGAGTGGAAGTAGGGTTTTTTTTTTTTTTTTGAAATGTTTGAGTGAAATTAAGGTTGTATTTGATTATGCATCTATATCCATTTTCCATAAAGCCTTTATTTTGTTTTGTTGTGTGTCTTTTATTTTTTATTTTTGTAAGAGGAGTGACACAAAGTACATTTTGATTTGTATAGAGAGGGCAGTGAATTTGTTTTGGAAGAGAATCTGCTGGGTCCATGTTTTTTTGTAATTTTTAAACCATAGTGTGATTTTTTCAAATGTTTATAATTTCATACACATATTGACCTATGGAGCAGCATTGTTCATACACATATAAAGTCATGTTGGACATGGACACTTATGCACCCCATATCCCGCAGCCCACACAAGAATGATCCTTGTGCTTGGTTGAGAATAATGCTATAGTGCCGCGGTGAGTGTGGCAAGCCCTTGCCATCAGGCGGGCCTTCATAGTAGTGTGGTTTGGCATTGTGACTGTCCTGGCTTAAGTAGAAGCCAGGATAGGGCTGCTATTCTGTTTTTCTGAAAATGTGGCACCAGTCTCCCTTATTTTCCATTATTGTCTTCTGAAAATGTGTCACCAATCTCTCACATTTTCCACTTCTCTTACACATCTCTTCTGGCCTACTGTGGTGGCATTTTTATGGCAATCTTTGGTGGCATGCAGCTGCAGCTGTCCTGGCTCCCTGTTCTGCAACTTCTGTCCTTGCTTGGAGTTGTAGAAGCAGCTGACATGTTTCTGTTTTTGGGAGAAGAGAAGATGGTTGAGTTCTGTGAGGAGGGTTGTGGGGTGGCTGAATGGCTGATGGGTGGTATTATAAGAACGGGGTTGAGTATCAGCTCAGTTGAGGGTGATAATTGGTCAAAATGGGTCACTGGTTGAACAGCATGAAATGAAATAGTTTACATTACTATTAAAATCATGAATGTTTATTATTATATATATCAAATATCATGGTTCAGTTGTATGTAATTACGATTTCTAAAGCACAGTTTCAATTCTTCTGGTGGGTACTTTTGTCGTAGCTAGCCATTTTGTTCTCTTGGGTAGACACTGCACTGTAACCTTGGTCTCCATGTGTGGTCAGCACAGAAAGTACACCTACAACAACTTTCACGTATTGGGACATCCGATGTCTGCTTTTAACATCTTGGGGAGAAAATCAACTAGTCTACCTAGAACTGAGTTGCTCCGGTTAAATCTGAGTTAAAGCCAGTTTCATGAAATCACCAATGAGTTATATTATATCTGATTCAGTAATAGAATTGACCTGCTTGCTAGTCCGGTCAACATTGAACTAGTCCAATAGGCTGGACTGAGTCAGGTTTTATGAAACTGCTATATATATATATAAAGTATATTATAATGAATGAATAATAATAAAGCAATAGTATATACATATATGCATTAAAAAATAGAATAGCAGCCATCCGCCCATATGGTATCCCGCCTTATTGTTTTGGAACAAATAATCATTCTTTTTACCACAACATGATAAAAGCACTACCTGAACCTATTGCTTGTTCCCTTTTGTTTTCTGTTTTACCGTGTTGCTGTCCTAGTGAATGGTGTTTTATGGGTCCCCTTTGTGTGTGTATACTTCTTAAGTTTCCATATTGTTATGTGTATTCCTCTGTCCATGTTGTATGGTCATATTAGCTGCTGAATCAGAGAAAATAAATTATTTTCATATATGTTCTTTTGGTGCGAAGAATTAAAGAATGTAGTTGTTATGGTAAAAATTCCTATTTAACTTTTTTCGTGAATTTTTATTCCATATCTTAACACTTGAATTATCCTACCTATAAAGTTTCAAATGATTTGGCTTTATACAAATTTTGATGTTGAACTACACAAAGATGGATAGCTGAATTAATTGATACATTCATCACATCATAGAAACACAACCTTGATTTATCTTTTTCTACCATTGATAAGTTCCTCAAAGTTGTTAGTGTTTGAGATGATGCCTGATTGATTGCATGAATATATTGTGGACACAATCTTAGGAATGTATCCTTTGTTTTGTTGAGTTTACCTATTTATGTTCTATAATGTCACTGGTAATGCATTTTAGGGTTTCGGGCATGTAATTCTTTCTCACTTTGTTCTTGAAGTCTTGGTGCAGTATTTCCCTTCCTCGACAATGGGCACTTCAAATCCTGCTGAAGTTTCTTCTAATCCTATGTCTTTGGTAAAAGATGATATGATGAGCACTGATTATCCCCCATCATTAGGAAAAGATGATGAGATGTGTGTTGAGAATCCTCCTGATCTGTCTTCTAATTCTCCACCATTAGGAAAAGATGGTATGATGAGCATTGTGAATCCTATTGAAGAGTTTTCTAATCCTGTGTCACCAAGAAAAGATGTTATGGTGGACAATGTAGAAAGTTGTCATAATGTTAATGAGAAACAAATTAGAGACTTTAGTGAGCTTAAGGAAACTAAGGACGAAGCACCTAAGGGAAAGGGTGAGGAGGTTGAAAATAAAATGAAGGAAAGCCAAAATAGGAGCACTATTGACAAAAGTCCTAAGGAAGATTCAGATAGTAGTCCGCTAAAGGCTATTAATCCTCCTGAAGGATCTCGTAAAGCAGAGTTGAGTGACAAGAATACTCCACAATCATTGAAGGCAAAATCTAAAATTGTTAAGAAATCTCATGTTGGTATACTGAAGGCTAAGAAGAACAATGATACTCAACAAAAGCGTGGCAAAAGAAGAATTAGTTCTTCCAAAAAATTGGTGGACAATGCTGAAAGTTGTCATAATGCAAATGAGAAACAAATTTCAAACTGTAGCCAACTGAAGGAAGCTAATAATGAACCACCAAAGGGGAAAAGTCAAGAGGTTCAAAATATAGTAAAAGAAAATCAAAACAAGAGCACCAATGGCAAAAGTCGTAGGGAGAAGAGCGAGCAAGCTCGAAAAGATAAGAATAGTCAATTGGATAAGACTGAGCAAAAACAAGAGAGTGAAGAGAAGCACAGGGAGTTAAGCAAGGGTTCTAACGGTAGGAAAAACAAAGGTAAGAGAAGTGGCATGGCAAGGAGTCAATTAAAAGATGAGAAGGGTGAAAAACTTGGTGGTTTCATCTTTATGTGCAGTGCAAAGACAAAACCTGATTGTTTCCGCTATCGTGTCATGGGTGTTTCAGCTGGTAAAAAGGATGATGTTTTACAAATCAAACCTGGGCTTAAGCTTTTTCTTTATGACTTTGATCTGAAGCTACTGTATGGTATTTACAAGGCTTCGTCTTCTGGTGGCATGAAGCTTGAACCTAAAGCTTTTGGTGGCAAATTTCCTGCTCAGGTTACTTTCATTTTCTTATATAATCATCTTAATCTTTTTTTTTTTCATTATTATTATTTATATGTGCTGATGTATAACACCTTTAGGTGCGGTTTAAAATTGTTGCTGATTGTTTCCCACTACCTGAGAACATCTTCAAAAAAGCCATCAAGGATAATTATAATGAAAAATCCAAGTTCAGAACAGAACTTTCTATTAGACAAGTAAGAATTATTCATTACCTTTCGTGACTTGCATGTATATTTTTGTTGTTCTTTATCATGAATGATATTCAAAATATTTTGTTTTAGGTGAGGAAGCTCACTCAACTTTTTCGACCACTCGGAATTCATTCAGACATGCACCCTATCCATTCCCAACCAAAAGTAATAATTCGAGAAAGGGAAGCTCCTGATGATGTTAGGGGATCACGGTCTCGATTGCATAGGGAAAACTATGATGTTGAATTTCTCTATAGGGATAATCAATTTGACCAACCGCAGGAAATTGCTCATGATATGTCTCGAATGGAAAATTACCAAGCATATGGTCTACCAAGAGATAGAAGAAATGTGGCTACCACCACATCACATGTTAAGCCTACATTGGAATCTTATGAGGGAGACTATCAACCCCATCACATGGACCTTGGGCATTTGAGAAATGTTCCTTCTCAAGTACAAAGTGTTCGAACTGATCCTCTTTATTTCAATGACTCTAGGGGTCCTCCTTATTTGAACGACAATAGGGGTCCTCCTTATTTGAACAACAATAGGGATCCTCCTTATTTGAATGACAATAGGGATTCTCCTTATTTGATTGACAACAGGGATCCATATGATGCCTATCCTCATGGTCTTTCACATAGGGATGCATATTTGGCACCTTTAAGTAGGGAGGAAATCTCTGCGAACTCTCCTTTGGTTAGGGCAAGATCTTTTGTTGAGATGGATAACTTGCCAAGGAGAGAGGTTGTTCAAGGTAGGCATTATCCAATATATTCTGCCCTTGATCATCTTCGAGTGCGACCATATCATGAAGATAGGTTGGAAGCTTTGCCTGCGCCCATTCTATCTCGTTACTCTTTTGCTGGCCCTTCGTTTCGTCGTCGTTGACTTAATATATATATTTCTAAATTCCTTGTTGTTTGGTTCCTCATGTACCGTCCTAATTGAGCACTTATGGATTTGGAAAAATCATATATGCTTGCTTAGATTTGAATCTTAGTTAGTATGTAGATTGTCACTTGAAAATTGTTGTTAATGATCTCAACGCTTTTTTATGATTGCTAGGTCTTGAACTTTAATTGATAGCCTAATTTGATATCAATGTAATTACCTCGGAGTCATGTGTTCATTGTGTATATGCTAGAAGAGCTTGTGATTGACCATCAATTGGTTGGATATATTTGAATGAATTTCCTGTGATTTACACAATCCGTTTCCATTATATAGGAAGAAGTGATCAAGTATTGAATCCATGTTTCTCTTTTAGGGAAAAGAGTTTGCATGTCTTAACAGTAACATCATCTTTGTTGGGAGATTTGCATGCCATGAAAATCATCAAAATGGAACATTGATAAGGACAACCAAACACGAATCTCATTCTCGCTTATTTATGTTGTCATTAACTCAGCAATAGTAGGATAAAGGCAGATTGAGTTGCTTTAGGGAAATGAATTTGTCTTATCGTTGACTTGACAGAAGTGATATTAAACAAGTTGATGATTTAGTGAAATAGATAAAAAATTTTAATTTTAACGATTTACTAAAAAATGTAAAATATATTAAAAGTATCATTCACACAGGAAAACGTTAAACATAAAATGGAAAAAGTTTTTTTTTTTTTTTTTTTTTTTTTTATGTTAGATGAATAATAATCGTTCAAAAGATTTATAAAAAAAATAATTAAATTATAATATACAAATTAATAGAAAAAATAAAGATAAATTTTTCAAATTGTTGAAAGTCTCACATCGTCTACCTCGTATTATTTGGTATGGTTTAAATACATGTTAGATTATTTTACATATTGTCAATTGGTTTTATGTTGGAATCTTAACATGGTATCGAGTTAAAGCTTTACATCTTTCCGGTTATTGTCATAGGCCAAAAGTTGCCCTTTAGTTGGGTCAAAAGTATCATTTGCTTGGTCTGGCAAGCTTCGTTGGAGGAGGTGTGTTGAAAGTCTCACATCGCCTACCTCATATCATTTGGTATGATTTAAATATATGTTAGGTTACTCTTCAGTATTGTCAATTAGTTTTATGTTAGAATCTTAACGCAAATATTATCTTTGTTGTGTACAAGAAAAAAGCAAGACTGCAGAGGTGATGGTGCGAGCCACAGTAAAGAAGGATGAACACGATAAATTTACAACAAGACAACAGAATAAAGATTTTGGGTGGAATTTACAACATAAAAGAAAAGAATTCATATATTAAATAATTATAAAAAATACTTATTATAATCCAAGATAATGTTATTTTAAAATTGAATTCATATATAAAATATTTATTACAACAGTTTAAAATTAAATAATTATAAAAAATACTTATTATAATAATTTAAACTTACCTCATTATAAAAATAAATTTTAATTATAAAATTATTATGCTGTTCAAAATTAAATTGTAATAAAAACAAATTTTAATTATAAAATTATCAGTATATAATTTATTATAATAAGTAAATTAAATTTGTGGTCATGAATATGTTTTTTTAGTAATATCCCGAAGAAAGATATATTATGTGAAAAAAATAAAACAAATATTTATGTAATTATAGTTAGCTGTACGTTGTGTTGGGTTGTGTAGAAAGAAATTGATGGCTGTGTCGGAGTATAGCAGAGTAGGAAAAAATATTCCAAGAGCATATTCAAATCAGTTTTTACCATAAATAGTTTAAGAAGAAAATTAAATATTTTATTATGGATTTTAGTGTTTAAAATTTGAGTAGAATTATTTATTCAAGTCATTTTTTTTAATTTTAAACAATTTTATTTATTTTTAAATAATTTAGATATAAAATTTATAATAAAATAGCTATTTTTATTTCTAAGTAATTATTGATATCAACTTTTTTAGAAATATTTTTTATTCTAAACAAATTTTAAGTAATTTAACTATAAAATTTATAATAAAATATTTAATTTTATTCTTAAATAACTTAAGTTAAAAATTTAATTATTTTAATAAATTAAATAATGCTAATAATAAAATAATAAATATTAATAATAAAGTTATGGAATAATAATAATGAATTAAATAATCTTAGAAATTTTTTATTTTTCTTATTGTGTTTAACTACGTTTCATTTTTTTAACACATCAACATATACATTGTAGTGGGTCAAAATCCAATAAATATATAAGTATCAAGATTCAACTACAATATTTGTATTATTTTTAAATTATTAAAATAAGAAAGAAAATGCAACTATGTAAAATATATTAAACAAATTTATAAAAGATCCTAAATTATAAAAGATAGTCACCGATTTCATATATCACTAAACAACATTTATGGATTTATAATACACATTTATATCTTTGTTAACTATATTTATTTTATGAAAAATGTTACTGTTTATATTTTAAAAATCAATCAAATTTAAATAAATTATTTACTCACTAGATTATATTTTAGGGTTTATAAAATTATAAATCAAATTTTTAACATGTAACGTTTAATTAATATTATTATCCTAAAAAAATATTGAAATTAGAATTATTAAAATAAACGGTCCGGTCTAGTTTAACTTAAGGAAAAAAATTCACTCCTAAAGAAAATGATTGAATAAGAATCATTAAAAAACATTAGAAGCGTGAAATGTAATGAGATAAAATTCTATATTTTTAAATTTTTAGAGAAATCTTCATATTATTACTAATAATTTATGATTGACTTAATTGGATGAATAAAATAAAGTACCAGACTCTCCATGTATTCTATTTTAAAATTCAGAAAAAGAAGAATGGTTTAATTTAATTTTTATTTTAAAATAAATCATAATATTTTTTTGACATTTAAACCAACAAAATAACAGATATTTTAATTAAAAATAAAAACAACAATAATAATTAATTAAAACAACATTTTTAAATAAAAAAATTAAAATGTATTTTTAAAATTTATATAATATTAATAAAATTATTTTTTTATTTTTGATACAATGATTTAACATGTAAATTATAAAAGAAGCTCATTCACTACAAAATAAGAGTTGAAATATTTTTTTATTATAATTTTTTTTAATTGTTAAAAATAATAATTTATCTTAAATTTTAAATTATAAATAAGTAGATATTATAGACTTATTCTTATACTTATTCATAAATAAATAATTTTTTTATTAAATTAATTTATAATATATATATTTTTAATAAAATAATTTTATTTTTGTTTTAAAAATAATTATTATTATATAAAATAGACTGATTCATAGATCTATAAATTAAACTAACCTATGTTCCATGTAGGTCAACCTAATAGGTTTTACAAAAAATTGTCTTATTTATTTTATATTATAACTTTTTTTATCTAATCTAATTTATTTTTCAAATCAATTTATCAAGTTAACTCTTTTTTAATACTTCTAATTAAAATTTCATAATAATAAAATAAAGACCATACACAAGAGATTATTAAAAAACATTTATCTATATTTAAAATTTGAATTATATAAAGTTTGTAAATTTGATTAATTACCATAGGTTAACTAATAATCTTTAATTCCTAAATCAAGATTATTAAAAAAAATGTATCTATATTTAAAATTTGAATTATATCAAGTTTGTAAATTTGATTAATTACCATAGGTTAACTAATAATCTTTAATTCCTAAATCAAAATCAATATAAAGAAGTATTAAGAAACTTGCAATTTTTTTTTTTTAATTTTGAAGATAATAATAAGATTTAATTACTCATGTCATACTTATAATTTAGTATATTTATTTTTTAGTCTATTTTTTTTAATAATCCATTAAAAAACATGATTCATTTTAGCACTTTTACATTTATACGAATTATTACTTAAGACTATTACATTAAAAAAATTCTTCATACTTCACATCTATTAATTATCTTTCCCAAAACTTTACGTATTCTATTCTGAGTAAGATATAAAAAAAGATTACTATAAATCCAAAGCTTTATTATTGTTGCTAGGCATGAAACCTAAACTAAAAAAATTAAAAACTTAATTTCGTATAAGATTTTTTATATTTTGAAATACATATATTTTTTCGTTGTTACGTGAACCGTTTAATGTTCAAATATTATACTAATTTCCTTTAAATATTTATCAAAGTTTTTTATTATTATTGTGGTTAAAACGGTGTAACTCTATGGTAAAAAAATATTTTATAACCCAATTTGATCTATATTTTAAAACAAATTTAAAATTTTGATACGATATATTAAGGGGTCAATTTTGATTTGATTTTTTTAATGTTGGTATATTTATATAAAATTAATTAATTTAAAAATATTTAAATAAAATATATTTTTCTTATTAATAAAATTAATTTATATTTGAAATAAAATAATTTAATATAAATTATATGATGATACAATTATTTAAATTTAAAATAAGAATTAAAAATTTATTTTTTGATTATTATATATATTTTAATAATTTATTAATTTAAAATAATAAATAATTTTAATTATAAAATTATAAAATAAAAAATAATTAGAAATTTATTACAATATTTATTTTTAAAATAAATAAATCTCATTGAATTAATTTATAATATATATATATATATTAATAAAATAAAAATACTTTTATTTTATTTTAAAAATAATAATAATTTTATAAAATAAGTAGATTAATAAATTTAAATTTATATAAATCATAGCTTGAGATAAAAATTAATTTAATTTAATTTTAAGAATAATTTTTTTGCTTTAACCTAATGTTCGACACTCCTGACTACTAGTAAATTTTTGGGCACCTATATCCTAATTTTATTTTATAAAATTATATTCCTCACAAGTTTTCAGTAAACCTACTTATACTTGAAATTATTATATGTCCATATTTTTAATTTTGATTATAATGTTTAACAAATTAGCTTAAAAAAAATTAAGAATATTTTTCTGAATTGTATTGTCTTCTGCCCGAATGAATAAACATATGAATAATAGGAAAAAATTAGGTAAATATTTGATGAGTAACAAGAAGCAGAGTCTGGGTCTTTGTGGGTGGGTTCAATTTGAAGCACATCCCTGAGTTTCTTGCACAGTCATTTCTCTTTTTCCATCTCTGACTAAGGTACCCTCTTTTTCTCTCTATGACTACGTGTTTTTCGATGTTAGCTCCTGTGCTGTGGTTTAGATTGTGAATTGTTCTTGGAGTTTGTCTGTTGATGAACTTAAATTTGATGATGAATTTCTTTAGGTTTTGGGGTGCCGTTTCGGAAATTTTGATGATTTGCATCCTAGGAAATAGGTTGATGTTTAGGTTTTTGAGATGAGGGGATATACTATAGAGAGTTGTGCTATCATCCTTTAGTTTCGCAAGTGTAAGAAAACCTGCTTCAGTATTTAAGTTTTGATTGCTCGAAACTGCGCACATTTTATTTCATTTATTTGTAGCCTTCAAATACTAAGGAGTGAAGCTGTGTAGCAATTGGTCCTGTTTTATGAAACACCCTCTACTTTAATCTCCGTTTCCCTCCTCTTACAATTCTGCACTTTCCCTCTTGGGCTCCTTATTTTCCTGTATAACGGTGGAAATTGTAGGTTATTTTCTATGCACAATAGTGTTGGTGAGACTTGGAATGAGACTTGGTTGAGGAACACTTGTACCTAAATTTGATGAATTTCAGTAGTTTTTGGAGTGCCCATTTAGGATATTTTGATGATTTGCATCCGTAGAAAATAGGTTGTTGTTTAGGTTTTTGAGATGAGGGGAAATGTTTTTGCATGAATTGCATTTAGACTACCTTTTGGTATTCATGTGGATAAGCTGCTAGCTACCTGCAGCTTTTTTCTTGTGTTATTATTATTTTTTATTTATTTCATAAAATTTGAGTGGAATTAGAGATTTTACAATGTTTGAGTCAAATTAGGGTTTTTTGGTAATGTTTGAGTGAAATTAGGGTTGTATTTGATTATACTTCTATGTCCACTTTGGATAAAGACCTTGTTTATGTGTAGAGAGAACAGTGAATTGGTATTGAAAAAAGAATCTGTAGGGAAAGTGTTTTTTGGTAATTTTTAAACCATATTGTGATATTTTCAATATTTATAATTTCTTTACTGTTTTAACTTATGAAGCAGCACTGATTATAAACATATAAAGGATTGTTGGGCATGGGCACTTTTACACCCCATACCCTGCACAAGTATGATCCTCTTGCTTGTTTTTTGGAATATCTAAATACAATTATCAGAGTTGAGAATAGTGCTTTACGTCCTGTTTGATTGAGACGAAAGACTGTTTATACGGACAGAAAAGAAGGAGAAGTTGTGTGTTTAAATAAATAGATTTGTGCAGAATGAGATATGTTTGGTTGGAGTGATAGGAGAGAGTGGAAATGGGAGTGTGGAAAAGGAGAAATTTGAAGAAAAATGAAAGTGAAATTAAAGTTGTTTGGATGAATAGAAAGTGAAAGAAAAGTTTATGAAAAATTGTAAGTGATTTGATTGATATGAGATATAAAAATTATAATTTTAATTAATTATTTAAGAAAATTACCATTTTATCCTTGTGTATAAAATAAGGTTAAAATTATTATAAATATAATTTTTTAATTAATTATCCATATTTTAACATTGATTATATATTTGAAAGAAAAAAAAATTTAAAAGTGTTTGTAAGTGGAAACAAATTTAAAAAATTAATTTTTTTTAAAATAGTTATTAAAAAATATATAAATAAACAATTACAAAATTATTTATATTGCATATCCATAAAAAAATAATTTTGACATATTAAATAAATTATTTGACTAATAATTAAATAATTATAAAATATAAAATAATAATTAATATTGACTAATAATAACAAATAATTATGAAAACTAATAATATAATTGTAAATTATTATTTTAAATAAATATAAAATATAGTGAAAATAGAATAATAATTAAATGAAAAATTCATGTAAACTTACTAGTAAAAATATTTTATTATTTAGTTAAAAATTATATTAATATATATTTTTATCATATTTTTATATTTTCAACATAAAATTCAAATATATATATATATATATATATATATATATTAAAATTACATGTCATAAATTTTAATTATCAAATAATATTAATTAATATAGACATTAGATATTTGACAAACATTACTAAAATTATAAACCTATGCACACTAATGCTTATCAAACAAATAATTATAATGTTATTGATCCTTTTCGAGTTAAGTCCTCGAGTTCAGAAGTTCCCTCGTCAGAATGTACTTCAATAACAGTATCTCGTCGAAAGGTTTGCTGAGTAGATCTGCCAAATTCATTGTGATAGAAGAGCTCCTGAATGAATCTTAAATTAAAGAGGTATACTCACCCCCTCCGGAGATTTCTCCTAACCCCTACTTATTCTTATGCTCAGTTCTTTTACAAATTTAGTGATTTGCATTGAACCTAATCAATGAGTTATTCATTAATTACAATTTGAGAACGATAACAAAAAATTATTTTGGGGTGAATAAAAAAAATAATTAGTTTTCCCGTTTAGACAGCAGAGCTAGTTGCTAAGGTCGAAGATATGTCTAACCCGAACGAAATAAACGCCGTTTACGTGTTCAGGCATTTGGGATTCGTCACCCCGGTTCGGCAAGTTGAATTCTTTCCAATAGAAAGTGACTAGTTCTCGAGCTACCGAGTACTGAAATAGCATACCATTTGTTTGATGAAAGTCCTACTCGGTCATTGAGGTATCTATTTACACATATGACGATCATTTTACGTGCGGGTTCTAATAGGCAATGCATCAATAATATTTTTAATTCATACTTGTGAATAATGTACTGCACATTGTCATTTCCGGTGTTCATTTTGTTCGGTGGGAAAAATTTGGTGCAACTACAAAAGTATCACTTTAGCGAGCACATTCGAAAAGGAGAAGTAGACCACGAAAGGATAATCGGTATCGACCCCATCCCAAGCAACCTCCAGATTTTGGTGTTAATCTGTTCTTGAAGAAGCCTAGCACCACCTCTAAACCAAGCGAGGATGATTTAGATATCGAGGAAGAGCATGATGAAGAGGAAGATGGAAATATTGGTGTTGTTTGGGAATCGGATGAGCTTGAAGCCATCTCATCACTTTTCCAAGGTAGAATTCCACAAAAACACTGGAAAATTGCATCGAGAAAGGCCTCTTCCTCTTCCATCTCCCCACAGGCTCCGACCTTTGGGGCTACCTAAACCAAAATCACAAGTGAAATTGACGGCTCCAGTTGTTGTTTCTTCCGGGCTTCTATGGCTAAGAAAGTGTATAAAAGCCCTAGTTTCCTAGTTGGGTTGGCAAGAGAAATAAGTAGGCTTGGTCCAGCTGAAGATGTGTCCAAAATTCTTGGGAAGTGGGTGCAGTTCTCGAGGAAAGGGTCCTTGTCATTAACAATAAGGGAACTAGGTCATATGGGATTCCACGAGAGAGCTTTGCAAACATTCTTATGGGCACAAAATCAACCTCATCTCTTCCCCGATGATTGGATTACGGCCTCAATTGTTGAGGTCTTGGCCAAGAATCATGAGTTAAGAATTCCATTGAACATAGACCGATATACTTGGTTTGGCAAGTCGTCGTTGTGTTGGAGGCAATGATCAAGGGTTTTATAAAAGGAGGAAACCTTAGACTTGCGTGGGAGGTTCTAGTAATGGCCAGAAGGGATAAAAGAATGTTGGATTCCAGCATTTATGCTAAGTTAATATTAGAACTTGGAAAGAACCCTAACAGACACAGGCGTGTGTTGCCCTTGTTAGAAGAACTTGGAGAACGAGATGAATTGAATTTAAGCCAACAAGATTGTACCGCTATAATGAAAGTATGCACTAAGATGGGGAAATTCGAAGTAGTTGAGAGCCTGTTTAGTTGGTTCAAGCGATCGGCTATCAACCAAGCATAGTAATGTTCACTTCGTGATTCACAGTAGTTACACGGAGAAGAAATACAGAGAGGCATTGACTGTAGTTTGGGAGATGGAGGCTTCAAATTGCCTTTTTGACCTTCCTGCTTATCGTGTGGTAATAAAACTATTTGTTGCTCTGAATGATCTATCTAGGGCAATGAGATATTTTTCAAGACTTAAAGAGGCTGGATTTTCTCCCACTTTTGGCATATACAAGGACATGCTTCAAATTTACATGGCCTCTGGGAGGACTGTGAAGTGCGAAGAGATCCGCAAGGAGGCTAATATAGCTGGTTTCAAGTCTGGATAAATATATAATCACATATAAATGAAAAATTGTAGACTTTAAGAATCCTGCAAGCATTGTCATTGTTCTAAAATCCCTCTCTCTAATATAATGACTGGGCCTCCTTTTGTACATTTGCAAATATTACGAAATCTTTACGCATTGACATTAATCATTTGGAATATTAATATAATATAGGAGAATTTGAAAATTATAAGTTTGTAGCAATTTCATTTGTCATTGTATGAATCCTTCAAGTAAACAATGGATTCAAATTAATTCTTCGTCACTAGTTTTTGTCTTTTGAGTTACTGCATTCGTGTAGTAACTTGCATTACCTTTATACTTGGAAAAAGGAAAATCATGCGTCTCGTGAATACGGTGCACTGTTGCATCACCAAACCAACTATTATGACAAGCTTGAGCACCAAAAACAAGCATCTACATGACCAACTCTGGATTTGGCTAAATTGTCTGCAGTTGAAATTCCTTCCCTAATGCTTCATTTGTTTGCGGATGAGTGCTGTAGTTACGGATGGAATTTAGGTGTGTTGATGTGCGATGATTATGTGGATTTGGTTCAGCTGAAATGTGTGGATTTGTAGTGATAGATTTCAAAACTTATTTTCACACTTCACTGACAGGAACTTGACACTGATAAAATTATCTCTACCATTTTGTTTATAAACTTAGATTTGCAGTTGACTTACCCAAGAACAAAGTACAGCTGAAATGACACACCATCTTGAAATACAATATTGTGGAGAGTTATTTTTATTAGAAAACGGTACAACCTTTTCACTGTTCTAGCCATTAAACCTTTGGATCGTTGATTTTCCAATAGATTTATGTTTTTTCAAATTTAAAAAAGGAAGAAAACAACGCAAAACATACATACATACACTAAGAGGCCATGGAGTTGTAATGACAACTGATTATGTGAAAGTACATAAAATGCTTAAATTTATCTTCATGGATCTGGTAATGGTAAGAATAAGATTGATTTTGGTTGGATAAATGGTTACCTACTTCACAAAACTGTATGCAACTGTTTCTGACTTTATTGTAAATGGATGTCTAAACCAGCAATTGGAGGTTAATTTATGCTAATATTCCTCCTTGTGATATTTTGTAGTTCTAGATTTTTTTTATAATTATATATATGTCTCACAACAAGAGGTAACTGTATTATCTTTTTAAACTATCTTGGGCTAGAAGAGATTCAGTTTTTATGGCCCCAAAGGTAGTTCATGGCCCGCGGGTCACTTCCAACCTCAACCTCTGAAACTCATAAAATAGTCTCGTCACACATGGATCTCGTATTCAAGTATTCTCCGTCCCATTCGGTATTTTCAGCCCAAAGAAAAAAAGTAAACTTAGCTACTATGCATTCCCTTTCTTCCCTCTTCAAAACCCTCGCATGAGTTTACCCTAATATTTTGCCCAAACTTGTTACCGTTCCCAGCACCATACTGCCCGCCAATCTATTAAACACTTACGTTGTGTGCCGAATTTGGAGGTGACAAATTCTTGTAGTGATATTTAGATGGTTAAAATGTTACTCGAAAAAGTTATGATTTTAATTTATGTAGATTTATGTAGTTATGGTTAAAATGCGGCGGAAATCTCTCTGTAAACATTTGTAGCATTTCTTTTTAATATTTTATTTTAGTTTATGGACATGTTATACCATATTTTTAACCTTTGATTTATGTACATAAGTGATGTGTATTTTTTTTATTTTTTTTAAGAAAAAGTTATCATAAATTTTAGGATAATTTTATTTAAGTTAATTTTAAGATACTTAAAAAAAATGAATTTATTTAAGTTAAATTTAAGATATTCTTATAAATATCTTTTATGCATAATTTTAACAACTATTTTGACTCCATCTTAACAAGAATCATAAATTAGATTATGTCACTTATGTAATTAATTTATGTAAAAACGATATAATTTGAAAGGATCATTCATTTTATCAAAAATTAAAATATTTTATTGAGAAATATATTAGTTTGATAAATAATTTTTTGAAAAATTCAACATATTTTAAATTAGGTATTAATTTTATCACATTTCCATCTGCATCTTCCTTGTACAATTCTTTAAATTTGATCTCTTTGTAAAAAAATTATTCAAAAATTTCATTCAATAAAATAGGAATTATTAGAGATAATTAAACTTTATAGCAACATTTGTCTAGTTATAACTTTTATAACACGTAATAAATAATTCACAATGGTTGCATGATTTTGTAAGTACATTTGTAATAATAAGTTAGAAAGATTAACATTGAATACACAAATTTATTATGCAAATAATAGAATATGAAAGGCACTTCATATATTATTTTATATAAACTAATACAATACAAAATTTAAATTCTTACAAGAAATTTTATATTTAAAAAATATTTTAAATATTATACTTTTTTTTAGTTTTTAATATTTATGTACCTATATCTCATTTTAAAGAAAAATTATATTATTTACAAATTTTATATTATTTACAAATTTTTAAATCAATTCACTTGTATCTAAAATAATTATTTCGCATATTCTTATTTATTTCTTATCGTTATGAGTCACAGATTATGTAAAGAGACATAGAATAGGAAGACAGAGAATTTGGGTCGTTTAGTGGGTGGTTTCAATTAGAAGCCCATCCTGTTTCAATTAGAAGCACATCCTATTTCAATTCGAACCACATGCTGTTTCAATTCGAACCGCATCCTCTGTGTGTGTTTGGGTTTTCGTAGCTATTTCTCTCATTTGATCTCTCTGGCTAAGGTGCTCTCTTTCTCTCTCTACGAACTGCTCTCTTTCTCTCTCTACGAACTGCTTGCATTTGTTTGTAACTTATTCATTGTCTATGGTGCGATTTAGATTATAAGTTGCTCTCCAAATTTGTTGGTTGAGGAACACTTGAACATAAATTTGACGAATTTCAGTAGTTTTTGGAGTGCCCGTTTAGAAAATTTTTTATGATCTGCATCTCTAAATAGGTTGTTGTTTAGGTTTTTGAGATGAGGGGAAATGTTTTTGCATGAATTGCATTTACACTACCTTTTAGTATTGATGTGGATAAGCCGCTAGCTACCTGCAGCTTTTTTCTTGTGTTATTAATTTTTTTTATTTCATAAAATTTGAGTGGAATTAGAGATTTTATGAAATGTTTGAGTCAAATTAGTTTTTTTTTAATGTTTAGTGAAATTAGGGTTGTATTTGATTATACTTCTATGTTCACTTTGGGAAAAGACCTTGTTTTTGTTTTGTTGTGTTTTTTTTTTTGGGTACAAAGTACATCTTGGTTTGTGTGTATAGAGAACAGTGAATTGGTATTGAAGAAAGAATCTGCAGGGAAAGTGTGTTTTTGGTAATTTTTAAACCATGTTGTGATTTTTTTAATATTTATAATTTCTTTACTGTTTTAACTTATGAAGTAGCACTGCACATAAAGGATTGTTAAATTAGCCAAGTCACTTCTCTTTAGGAAATTAATTGAAGGTTATGTTCTTTGCACTACCAAGGGCTTATATAAATTTGTGATACACAAGGGTGTAGAATTTGAACTTATTGAGGTCCCATTAGATGATGGAATGGTGATTTATTATACAGAATTGTTATTGTGAATTATTATTTGGCTCCTAATTTAAGTTAATCTTCTTAGGGATACAGGGAGTGGTTTGTTTCCGTTTTCAAGTCAATCCTATACTCCTCACACTTTTGTAAGCTTTTGCTAATAGAGAAGGGTTACTATAAGGTTCTGGGAACACATGTTGAAAGAGGCAGTTGGTAGAATTTGCAGAACCAGTTCTTATGCTTTTGAAGGAAACAGATTTTTGCCTTGGATTTATGTGCCTTCGTGCTTTTTCCACAATGGACAGGTAAAATCTCCTATGTTTCCTTTCAAAGCACAAATTACATTATTTATTTTAATATTTTTCTGTAGAATTTGGTTGAATCTTGATTCAAGTGTATGAGTTCGAGTGCAACTTTGTTCGTTTTATGTATAAGAAGACTTTGAGTGCAACATATGATGAAAAACAGTTCAAATATATGTAAAAAACAAATGGTAATGAACACTTCATTGACATTTTGTTTCAAGTAATATTGTTTGATGGGCACCTCTAATTTAAAAAGTTCCTTTCATAGATAAATCAGGTAATCAGATGCTAAGCTTCAAACAAAGTATGAAATCCTGAAGCTTATAAAGTTGTATAAGTTTAAGTTGGCATGTGATTATGTTCAATTCTGATAAATATTTTTTTTAGATTTTGAATATTGTTAGGAATGAACCTATGTTCAATAGAAGGAATAAAGTTTGGAAGGTGTACTACAGGAGGAATAAAATTCAGTAATTAAATTTAGTTACAAACTATAACAGGTGATATTATTGTGTGATATTAAAGGGCTTTAGTTTTAAATTACAGTGCAACAGTTAGACATTGCGGGGGGCATTGGCTGATAGGTGGAAAAGGATTTTTGTTGTACAACTGTTAGTTACGTGTTGATAAGCACTTTTGTGTGAATTCATTGATCCCACATAGACCTGTACTGCATCAAATCAACCAAGGTTGTAAAACTCTGGAGTTTGCTAGAATTCCAGGAGTTTGATAACTTTGAAATCAACAACCAAGCACTGGTTTACCATTCATTATAACTATGCCTTTCACTAGGACATGTAGCACTTTATGTGCAAAGTTACCTTACCATGTAGCATGGGTGGATTTTATCCAACTGAAAAAGTTAACAAGCCTGGAATGTCAATTTGAGATGAATCATTTGTCTAGTATATTATTACTCATTTTTAGCTTATTTCTTTTATGCAGGCACATATGGCACCTAGAAGCTTTTTCGGGGTAGAGGATTTTCTTGATGATGACAATAGCCGACCTTACACTTACCAAAAAGGGAAGAAGTCAAAGAATCCAAACAAACACATATCATTCAAACAAAGAACAATTGCTTACATGGAGCCCTTTACACTTGATGTGTTTATCTCAAAACGCTTTGTATCAGCTTCACTTACTCACAGGGTGACAAGCAAACAGGTTGCCGTTGCTGGTACCAACTCCAAGGACATAAAAGCTGTTCTTAGGTCTCGTTCAGACATACCAGCATGCATAGCCATTGGTAGGATTTTGTCTGAAAGAGCAAGAGAAGCAGATGTTTACACTGCTTCCTATACTCCAAGGGACAGGGACAAGTTTGAAGGCAAAATCAGAGCTGTAGTTCAATCACTTATTGATAATGGGATTGACATCAAGGTTTATCTCGATTGAGTTGAGTCACTCATGATTTTGGGGATATCAGTGAAGTTCTTGATATTCCGGTTGTAGCAATAGGCTACTTCTGTGTTTGGTCATGTTCATTTAGTTTGATTTTCATTCTAATGGGAATATCATTATTTGAATTACAGATTTGGTAATTAAATTTTATGAATCTAAGTCATCTGGGTCGTAATTCTTGTTAATTTATTATTCATTTGAAAAGGTAGTAAACATGTTACAAAATACAATCATATACTAATTTATATTATATACCAATGAACACATTTTTCAAATAACAAATGACATAAATTAAGTTCTTGATTGCACTAGGAGGGGTTACATTGCATCTTATCTAATAATAATAATAATTATTATTATTATTATTGATATTGTTATTTTCTTATCATTATTAAAACAAACCACTTATGCAAAATAATTTTGCATTTTGATTTGTAATGCAAATTTTTTATTATTTGTTTTTGAAATTTAATATGTTACTTAAATGTTAATCAATGTATTGTTTTATAATTTTTCATAATTCTATTTTATGTTATTTGTATTAAAACGTATAAAAAATAATTAAATTTAAAACATTATAGTTCATGTCTCGTTCCACACGCATTTTAGAGAAATAAATTACTCGATACATACTTTTTGTCTAAGAAAAATATATATAACTGAGTCAAGTGACATAGTATCTCCAAAAATTTTCAATATAATCCAATATCCTCAACTTTTTTTTTTTTTTATAATTCTTGAAGGGATAAACTGATATTTATCAACAGTGACTCTAAAATAAAAATAAAAAAATGAATATCTCGTGCTTATAAAATAATTTGGTTGAAACATGTGTTTTTCCTTAACTTCACTCCCCAGTCTTTAATTTTTTAGAAATTTTCATATGAAGTTATTAAACACTTACGTTGTGTGCCGAATTTGGATGTGACAAATTTTTGTAGTGATATTTAGATGGTTAAAATGTTACTCTAAAAAGTTATAATTTTAATTTACGTAGATTTGATAAACTCAGTGAAAAAAAAATCATTCAAGATCACTATTCGATTAAAACAAAGTAAAATTTTCTATTTCAATTAATTTTGATATCAAGAAAATTAAAAAAAAAAAAAAAAATATATATATATATATATATATATATATATATATATATATATATATATATATATATATATATATATCTCTTAAATGTAGTAGAAGATTTGCGAAGAGACTCACATAGTTAAAGTCAATATATGAGTGATGTGTATTTTTTTTTTTAGAAAAAGTTATCATAATTTTTAGTTTATAGGGATAATTTTATATAAGTTAAATTTAAGATACCTAAAAAAATTAAATTTATTTAAGTTATATTTAAGATATTCTTATAAATATCTTTTATGTACAATTTTAACAACTATCTTGAATTCATCTTAACAAGCATCATAAATTAGATTATGTCATTTATGTTAAAAAAAACATAATTAATTTATGTAAAAAGTTAAAATATTTTATTGAGAAATATATTAGCTTGATAAATAATTTTTTGGAAAATTCAACATATTTTTAAATTAGGTATTAATTTTATCACATTTCCATTTGCATCTTACTTGTACAATTCTTTAAATTTGATATGTTTAAAAAAAAAATTCTTCAAACACTTTTATCATTATTCAAAAATTCCATTCAATAAAATAGGAATGATTAGATATAATTAAACTTTATAGCAACATTAGTCTAGTTATAATTTTTATAACACGTAATAAATAATTCACAATGTTTACACAATTTTGTAAGTACATTTGTAATAAATTATAAAGATTAACATTAAATACAAAAATTTATTGTGCAAATACTTCATATATTATTTTATATAAACTAATACAATAAAAAATTTAAATTCTTACCAGAAATTTTATATTTAAAAAATATTTTAAATAATATAGTTTTTTATTTTTTAATATTTATATACCTATATCTCATTTTAAAGAAAAATTATATTATTTACAAATTTTTAAATCAATTTACTTATATCTAAAATAATTATTTCTCATATTCTTATTTATTTATTTATCATTACGAGTCACAGGTTATGTAAAGAGACATAGAATAGGGAACACAGAGACTTTGGGTCCTTTAGTGGGTGGTTTCAATTCGAAGCACATCCTGTGTGCGTGTTTGGGTTTTCGTAGCTATTTCTCTCATTTGATCTCTCTGTCTAAGGTGCTCTCACTTTCTCTCTCTACGAATTGCTTGCTTTTGTTTGTAACTTATTCATTGGCTATGGTGCGATTTAGATTATGATTTGCTCTCCAAATTTGTTGGTTGAGGAACACTTGAACCTAAATTTGATGAATTTCAGTAGTTTTTGGAGTGCCCATTTAGAAAATTTTGATGATTTGCATCTCTAGAAAATAGGTTGTTGTTTAGGTTTTTGAGATGAGGGGAAATGTTTTTGCATGAATTGCATTTAGACTACCTTTTAGTATTGATGTGGATAAGCCGCAGCTACCTGCAACTTTTTTCTTGTGTTATTACTTTTTTTTATTTCATAAAATTTGAGTGCAATTAGAGATTTTATGAAATGTTTGAGTCAAATTAGGGTTTTTAAATGTTTGAGCGAAATTAGGGTTGTGTTTGATTATACTTCTATGTCCACTTTGGAAAAAGATACTTGTTTTTGTTTCGTTGTGTCTGTTTTTTTTTTGGGTACAAAGTACATCTTGGTTTGAGTGTAGAGAGAACAGTGAATTGGTATTGAAAAGAGAATCTGCAGGGAGAGTGTGTTTTTGGTAATTTTTAAACCATATTGTGATTTTTTCAATGTTTATAATTTCTTTACTGTTTTAACTTATGAAGCAGCACTGATTATAAACATATAAAGGATTGTTGAACATCGGCATTTTTACACCCCATACCCTGCACAAGTATGATCCTCTTGCTTGGTTTTTGAAATATCTAAATACAATTATGAGACCATGTGTTAACATCTTCTGGTTATGGCACTTTTAGTCTGTTGCCAAACCAGAGTTGAGAGTAGTGCTTTAGTGCCACATTGAGTGTAGCAGCCTTTTTCCACCACGAGGGCTGCCATAACAGTGTGGTTTGGTGGTTTGGGTGGATGTAGTGGCTCAAATAGAAGCCAGTATAGGACTGCTATTATGTCTTTCTGAAAACGTGTCACCTATCTCCCCCATTTGCCACTTCTCTTACTCATCTCTTTTGTCCTGTTCTAGTGGCATGTATATGGCAACATTTGGTGGCATGCAGCTGCAGTTTTGTTGAGTTTACCTGCTTATTTAATTTTATTTGATTTATATTATTTCACTGATAATGCATTTCAAGTTTAAAGGCATATAATTCTTCCTTGACTTTGTTCTTCAATTCTTGGTGCATGACTTTCTTTTCCTCATTAACTCTGTAAAGCAATGACTTTTTATATATTTTATTGAACTGTTGCAAATGATTGTATTCTTAGATGGTCTATAAATTTTCAACCTTTTTATGCTGTAGTAGTAATTTGGGATTGTTCTATGGTCTCATGATTTCCCAATTTATTTCCTGTCCAATCGTGTTTTATTTCATGCATTAGTGATCCATACATGTCAAACATGTTATTAAAAATGTAGCTTGAGCCTCTGAATGAGGTGATTTCTTAAATTATTGTTAGAGTCAGTTCAGCATGAAGTTATCTTAGTCCTCCCTTCTTGTAATTAAAGTTTCCATGTAACAAAGTCTCAGTGCAAGTATTAGAAAACTAGTTATATTGTTCTTTTTCATTGCCTCAATTCCAGCAAGTTTACACATTGATGCAAGTTATAAAGATCATGATACTCTTATATGTAACAACTGCTTTTTATGCAAATGGTTTGTTGACACTTTCTTTTTCCCTTCCTTTTTTACCCATCCAACCTCGGCCTTTTTATTTAATTCTTGCCTTTTCTGATTCGTGTGAATTGTCACTCAATTTCAAAGCCATTTATATTTGATCTATTTTATTTACTAGTTTGGATGTCTAGGCTAAGGTGCTGAAAGATGGAGATCTGATTAAATAGATAAATTCATTCCAACTCTTTATTATATTTTCTCCTTATTATTATGTTACCCAAGGTCAATCTTTAGGTGTTTGGGTAGATATTTGAATAAATTGTGGACATGGTGTGAACTCTTAAGTATTTATGTTTGCTTCTTAAAGATTTATGGGTATCCTTCAGGGTTAGTGCGTTGCTTCCTCAACTGTTTTCTCATTCCTTGCACATGACTATTTGCCTGGCTAATTAATGGAATATGTTCTTATTTGTTTTAAGATGCAATGATCATCCTTCTTTGGTATTAATATTACTGTTTGAACATCTTCTTAGCTTAGTTTGAGAAGATCCTTAAAATTCTGATCTTAATATTAAGACTTATCAATAGAACATGATCACACACCACTATAGAGATGAAGTGGTGGGTTGTTCTATAGCCCCTACCAGTTTTGTTTCGCATAGTGTTGTGTCTTATTGTAGCCAGAGTTATGGTCATGATGCAATTGGCATCCTTGATAACTGTGGCCATAATGGATGCCATTCTTCACAGGGTAAAATATTGTTTTTACACCTGATGTTGTGTATGAGTTAGCCCACTTATTTTGGGTTTTATAGCAATTTCTATTTTGGATAGAAAACATAGGGTTTCCAATTGGAGGATGAATGCAATTTCTATGTATTGCGATCAGAAAGGCCTAGTGCCTAAATCTCATTTCTGACAAATCCACACCACTGGCATAATTTCTGGTTAACCCACGACACTTTGGCAGAATTTCTGGCAAACTCACTGCTCCTCACATCATTGCACTCAAAATTGTGATCTTCCTCGTATGATTAAGCAATTCCACTAGTTTATATCTTAGTTGAAATCTTGGTCTCCCTAAAAAACTCATTCTAGTGGTTTGCATCATCTTAAGTGTTGAATTAGTGGTATTGGATGATCCCTTTATGCAACTCACAAGGATATCTTAGAAGTGATCCAATTGGTAAGAATCCTTGAACTTTATTTCCTTCTTCACTTTGACTCTACTTTGGTACTTGTAAAGCTTTTCAATTAAGGTTGTCGTGGTGGAAATCAAATTAGAGAGGCTGCAAAGGTTGAGAAGATAGCAACACCCTTGGTTAAGGTTGGAGTTAGTTTTGTAGAGGAAGGTGAGGGTATGTGATATGCACTTGAGTTTTATGGGATGCTTAAATCCTATATCAAGTAGTATGACATGTTTGGTCTAGTTAAGTGGTTTGGTTTTGCCCTCCTTGACTCTTAGGGAAAGCTTGATAACTGCTCATCAATTGTATCAAAGTTGGTTGCTGATGACATGGAAAGCACTACCTATGAAGGGATGGGCTATAAAGGCCACATGAGGGGTCATACTGTGTTAGCCACTAGGTTGTCGACTGACATTGTTATGATAGAGATTTTGGTATTATGGGGAGCCTAAATTTCACATTGAGTAGCCTGGGATTCTTGGTGGAGTACTTAAGCCACTTGGTTCTGCCATCTTAACTGTTAGAATTATTATTAGTTAGTGGTTAGTAGTTGGTGGTTGGTGGTTGTTGTTTTAAATGTTGTAATCCTATATATATGAGATTATAGAGTGGAGTGAAGTATCCCACTGAATTATAAATCTTCTTTTAACTCTCTTATCTTGGTATCAGAGCAGGTTGGTCCTGCTCTGTCTTTTTGACCACCGTCCGACCACTTTCCGGCCACTTTTGGTCACTTCCTGGTCACTTTTCGGCAACTTTCCGGCAATTTTTCGGTCATTTTTCGGCAACTTTCCAGTCACTTTCCGACAACTTCCCCCCAACTTTCCGGAAACCGTCAGCCCCATTCCAGTCACTTTTTTGCTGCCGGCCGACGACTTTCCGACTACCTTCCAGTGACCTTCCGGCCTTCGTTCCACTACGGCTGTTCCATTGTTTCCATCTTACATCTACATTATTTAAAACATGTCATCAGGGCCCACAATCTCCTTTTCCGGAACTCCCACTATAACGACTGAGAAATTAAATGGAAAAAATTACATGTCTTGGTCCTCTTCAGTGGAACTTTGGTTCCTTGGACAAGGGTTTCACGATTATCTAGAAGTAGACGGAAGTAAGATACCAGAAGATCAAGCTCAACAATGGAAAAAGCTTGATTATCAACTTTGTGCTCTATTGTGGCAATCAGTAGAACCAAGTATTTTGAACACTCTCAGATCCTTCAAAACATGTAACTCTTTCTGGAAAAAGGCTCAGAATATCTTCGCAAATGATATCCAACGCCTCTATGATTCCGCTAATCGATTAGCCTCTCTCAAGCAAGTGGATAAAGATATGATGACCTTTATTGTTGAAGCTCAATCAATAGTTGAAGAATTAAAGATGTTTCTAGAGGTGGATTCATTAGAGGAGATAAAGCAAAAGTTGGATAAATTCTATATGATTATGACTCTTCGGGCTATGAAATTCATAATTTGATCATGTTAGAGATCAAATTTTAATTGGACAAGAAGTTCCTTCTATGGAAAGTTTGACTACAAGATTGCTTCGTGTTCCAACTCTCAAAGAAAAAAATAATCAAGAACTTGTTGACTCTTCTACTATGATTTCTACTCGTGGAAGAGGAAGTCGCGGCACTAGAGGAGGACGTGGAGGTAGAGGACGTCTTCAGTGCACTCATTGCAAGAGAATGGGTCATACCCTGGAAAATTGCTACTCTTTGCACGGTTTTCCTGACAAGACTGTCAATTTTTCCAAATCTGAAATGGTTAAACCCAAGTTCTCTCACGAAGAATATCAAGAATATTTGAGGTTGAAATCCAGTAGTCTAACATAGTCATCAACAACCCCAAATTCATCAACAACTTGCATTTCACAATATGTGGAAAGTCAGGTGTTTCTGATCACATGTCTGGTAATACCTCTTTGTTCTCTTCTCTCTCATTTCCTAAAACTCCTCATCTCATAACCTTAGCCAACAGATCTAAAGTAGTCTCTAAAGGAACTGGTCTAGTCTCCATTTCTCCGCCTTTAAACTTAAAATCTGTTCTTTTTGTTCCTTCATGTCCTTTTAGCCTCATTTCCCTAAGTCAATTAACTAAATTATTGAATTGTTTAGTAACCTTTAATGTCAACTCTTTTGTTATACAGAAACGTGGTACGAGTTGACAGATTGGCGAAGGACATGAATCTGGAGGCTTATACTACCTTGAGACTAAATCATCTGTATCATGTGTAGCATCCTTGTCTCCAAAACTATTACATGAACATTTAGGGCACCCTCACTTGTCAAGATTAAAAAAAAATGGTTCCTGAACTTCAGACTCTTCAAGATTTTGAATGTGAATCATGTCAATTAGGAAAACATACTAGGTCCTCTTTTCCTAAACGTTTTGAATCTAGATGTGACTCTGTCTTTTCTCTTGTTCATTCTGATATTTGGGGTCCTAGTCGTGTCTCATCCTTTGGCTATAGATATTTTGTTACCTTCATTGATGAGTTTTCTAGGTGTACTTGGATTTATCTAATGAAAGACCGTTCTGAATTATTACCTATCTTTAAGTCTTTTCTTAACGAAATCAAAAATCAATTTGGAAAATTAATCAAAGTTTTACGAAGTGATAATGCCAAAGAATACTTTTATACTGATTTCTCCAGTCTCTTAAGTTCCCAAGGCATTTTACACCAGTCTACTTGTCCTTACACACCACAACAAAACGGTATAGCAGAACGAAAAAATAGACATTTGGTTGAAACTGCTCGTACCTTATTACTTGGTGCAAATATGTCTGTTCATCATTGGGGAGATGCTATTCTTACTGCATGTTTTCTCATTAACAGAATGTCATCTTCTTCTCTTGAAGATAAAGTTCCACACTCTATCCTATTGCCAAAGGAGTCACCCTTTCATGTTTCTCCTCGTGTATTTGGTTGTGTATGTTTTGTTCATGATATGTCTCTAGGTTTAGATAAACTATCAGCTAGATCCATCAAATGTGTCTTCTTGGGATATTATCGTCTTCAAAAAGGATATTGATGTTATTCTCCTGAAACCAAGAGGTATTACATGTCTGCTAATGTCACTTTTTTTGAATCCACTCCCTTCTTCCCTTCTTCTATGCAGGATATTAGTTCGGTCCAAAATGTCCTACCTATACCCTTAGTGGAGCCATTTGTACCTTCTTCCCCTGACACCCAAAATTCCACACAAAATACACCGGAATCCTCATCACTGCCTCTTATTACCTATCAACACAGGAGCCAAATGATTAGTCCCATGTTCCAAGATGAGTCTTCCTCAGGAGATCCTTCTCAATCATCCCCTGATACCATGATTCTTGATAATGATGACTCAAGTTGGCCCATTACCATTTGCAAAGGTACTCGCTCTACTCGTAATCCACATCCCATTTATAATTTTCTTAGCTACCACAGATTGTCTCCTTTATATTTTTCTTTTGTTTCTTCTGTATCCACTATTACTATTCCTAGAAATGTGAAAGAGACACTTGATTATTCTGGATGGCGACAAGCCATGATTGATGAAATGTAGGCTTTTGAGCACAATGGTACATGAAACTTAGTTTCTTTTCCACCTGGGAAGAAGACTGTTGGTTGTCGTTGGGTCTATGCCATTAAAGTTGGACCAAAAGGTGAAGTTGATCGACTCAAAGCTAGATTAGTAGCAAAATGCTACACTCAGATCTATAGCCTTGACTACAATGATACTTTTTCTCCTGTGGCCAAAATAACTACTATTTGACTTTTCTTTGCTATGACAGCTATCCGTCATTGGTCTCTTCATTAGTTAGATATCAAGAATTCTTTCTTGCATGGTGATCTTGAGGAGGAAATTTACATGGAGCAACCTCCTGGTTTTGTTGCTCAGGGAGAGTCTAGTTTGGTTTGTAAGTTATATCGTTGTTTCTATGGTCTCAAACAATCTTCATGTGCTTGGTTTGGAAAGTTTAGTCACATTGTTCAAAGTTTTGGACTAAAACAAAGTGAAGTAGATCATTCTATTTTTTATTATACTGCTTCAGGAAAATGTGTTTATTTAATTGTATATGTGGATGATATAGTCATTACAGGGGATGATGTTGATAAAATTTCTCTGCTAAAGAAACATTTATGCAATCACTTCCAAACTAAGGATCTTGGTTGTCTCAAATACTTTCTAGGGATTAAAGTGACTCAATCAAAAGAAGCATCGTAGTCTCCCAAAGAAACTATGTTTTAGATATCTTGAAAGAAACAAACATGATTGATTGTAGACCAGTAGACAATCCTATGGATCCTAATCAGAAATTAATGGCGGATCAGGGTGAATCACTCTCTGATCCTGAGAGATATAGAAGACTTGTTGGGAAACTCATTTATTTCACCATTACCAGACTTGACCTATCTTTTGCCGTTGGAGTTGTCAGTCAGTTTATGCAAAATCCGCGTACTGATCATTGGAATATTGTCGTTCACATCCTAAAATATCTCAAAAAGGCTCCAGGACAAGGTCTATTGTATGAAGATAAAGGGGTACCCAAATATTTGAGTATTGTGATGCTGATTGGGCTTGATCCCCTATGGACAAACGCTACACTACAGGATATTGTGTTCTCATTAGAGGCAATATTATTTCCTGGAAAAGCAAGAAACAAAATGTAGTGGCCCGGTCTAGTGTTGAAGCTGAATATAGAGCAATGGCTTCTCTCACTTGTGAACTAGTGTGGGTGAAACAATTCCTTCAAGAACTGAATTTTTGTGAGATCCAACATATGAAGATGTATTGTGACAATTAAGCAGCTCTCCACATTCCCTCTAATCCGGTGTTCCATGAAAGGACCAAACATATAGAACTTGATTGTTATTTTATTTGTGAAAAATTGTTGTCTAAAGAAATTTGCACTGAATTTGTTGGGTCCAATGAACAACTTGCAGATGCGTTGACAAAGTCTTTAAGAGAACCTCAAATTGAATTTATTTGTTCTAAGCTTGGCATATACAATTTGTATGCTCCAGCTTGAGGGGGAGTGTTAGAATTATTATTAGTTAATGGTTAATGGTTAGTAGTTAGTAGTTCGTGGTTGTTGTTTTAAATGTTGTAATGCTATATATATGAGATCATAGAGTGGAGTGAAGTATCCCACTAAATTATAAATATTTTTTTAACTCTCTTTACTCTCTTAACTTTGACAACAAGCTTTTAATGGAGGGTTCTCCAAGTGCTCCACATTGCTTCTAGTAAACCCATTCATAACTCATATTGATTTCAATCTTTTTGATCTCTGTTTTGTTCATTAGTATGGGTCTCTGGTTTTTTCCCTCCCGTGATAACTTGAAAATTCTTAGCCTGTAATTGGTTTCTTTTCCTTTTGAAAGATTCCAACTCCTTTTCCTTCATTTGCCTCAATTTTTTTAATATCAATTTGTTTTGTTTTCTTCATTCCTATGTTTCGTGCTCTTAGTAGTTAAGTATTTTGTTTATGTGTGTTAACTTTTGTGGTTATTGACTATCTAAAGAACACTTTTGGTTTTTTATTTTATTTTTATTAGAGAATTTATGCATGTGAAGTATAAATTATTAAGACTATGATTTTGTTTTTCATTTTCATTTTTCGATTTTTGAGCATTTATATATGTGATGAAGTATATTATTTAATTCATAATGGAGTTGGTTCTACTAAGGTTGACAAACATAATATTAATGGGTTTTGAGTGTTCGTGACCCTACAGTTATAGTAGGGATACTGTTCCATCTCTTGAGAGTTTTTGCACTCAGTGTTGTCTGGCTCATACCGATGTCATTAAGGGTATGACAAAAAATATGGTACGAGTTACCACTAGAACAGACATGTGTCAACAGTATGGATAAAAAGTAGTATAAGAAGTAGTATAAGGTGCGAACAAAATTAGGATAGAGATATCCCGTTTTAAAAATCCTTCATATGCCTACTTTTTAAGAGATACAAACACTATGATGACCGTTCATACATGGTGCATACATGGTGTATGACGATCATACTAGGTGTATGAACAATTATACTTGACCTATGGAGCTACGTTATCTTATTACTATTGAAAGGATTTGCTTGTTATTGTGTATCTTGCACACATACAATTACTCTTATTTATAATGAAGAAGACATACAACAGGAATAAAATCAATATCTAATAATGGGAAATATTTGCTAAGATATTTTTCTACATGATGTAATAAAATCATATTATATTTCTCTATTTAATATAATCAAATCATATTGATAAACTCCTTTTCAAATTGGAGCATATGTATCATAGAAGTCAAGTTTATTTTTAAATGTCATCAGCGTGAGCCTCTTAAGAGACTTAGTGAGCATGTTAGCCAACTGGTTGTTGGAGCTAACCAAGTCATTAGTGTCAAAGCTTCAAAAATCAATTTGGTGCAAGTGTGTGAAGATCACCAAGGAACTAGCAACTCGTGGTACCGGTTGGCTGTGAGTAATATAGTGGAGTAGTAGTTGGAGAATGGCTACTCTGATTGTGTAGGTCGCGTCTAAGGTCATAGGAGGCAAAACTTGCTAAAGACCAAACACGATCAGAGGTATGATAGCTTTCGGAGAGCCAAAATACTCAAGGGTGCGACACCTACTAGAGAGCAAAAATGCTCATACGGTATGATGGCTTCCAAAGAGTAAAATCATATCATATTTTCCTATATAATATAACCAAATCATATCCTTAACAGTTAATGTCCATCTTTTGCAATTGAAGTATAGATGAGGTGGAGTGTCCTGTATTAATTGTTGGTGCATGGTTTCTGACATAAGCAGAAGTAATATATTATATATGCTTAAGCCATTATTGAACAATCAAAAGGTCAAGAGATTCTTTTGACATTTCTTGTTCCCCTCTCCTTTTCTTCTTCAATCTCAGCCTCCTTAATTGAATTGCTGTTGCTTTTGTTACCGGTTTCAGTTATATTTCACCACTTGAAGCTTGTCTGCTCCAGTACCTGCATAATATGGCTCAAGAGGGGACTTCTAATCCTCAATCATCAAAGCAAGATAAGGATACTAATCCTGCTGAAGGATCTAGTGAACTAGAGGAGAGTAACAAGAATACTCCTCAATCATTGAAGGCTAAATCTAAAATTGGTAAGAAATTCAAGGGTGCTAAGTTCAAGACCATGATAAATACAGGTTCTCAACAGATTGGGGGAAAGAGAAGGCTTATAAAGAACAAAAAAGTAGTGGGCGATAGTGATGAACTGCCTAAAGAAAAGCCTGAGAGGAATGGAAAGAATATTGAGAAGGAAAGTCAAAATAGGATCATTATTAATGACAGAAGTCCTATTGAGAAGAGCCATCGGGCTGAAAAAAATAAGGTCATTAAGGTGGATAAGCGTGAACAGAAGCGAAAGAATTCAGAGTCTGACAAGGGTACTGGGAGTAGAATAAGCAAAAATAAGCATGAAGGCACGGATAATATTGATTCCAGTGAAAAACAGCGAGAAAAATTTGCTGGTTTCATCTTTATGTGCAGTGGGAAGACAAAGCCCGACTGTTTCCACTATCGTGTCATGGGTGTTTCAGCTACTAAGAAAGATGTTGTTTTAAGTATCAAGCCTGGGACTAAGCTTTTTCTTTATGATTTTGATCTGAGGCTGTTGTATGGGATTTACAAAGCTTCATCTTCTGGTGGTATGAAACTCGAACCCCGAGCTTTTGGTGGTAGCTTTCCTGCTCAGGTTACTTGCTCTCATCTAATTTTCCGATCTAATTGTCCCAATGTTGTATTTGTTTACTGAGTTATGTGCTGATGGTGCAACCTTCAGGTGCGGTTCAATATTGTTTCTGACTGTTTCCCGCTACCAGAGAGCATTTTCAAAAAGGCGATCAAGGAAAATTACAATGAGAAGCATAAGTTTAAAACAGAACTTACTGCTCGACAAGTGAGAATCAAATATACTTCTGGTGGACTAGTTGTCAATTTTTTATTCTTCATCATTGATGATATTCAAATGTTATATTTCAGGTTAGGAAGCTCACTGAACTTTTTAGGCCAGTGGATGTTCGTTCAGGCTTGCAGCCTGTCCGATCGCCTCCAAAAGCAATAATTCATGATAGAGATGCTATTGATGAGGTTAGGGGATCATCATTGTCCCATTTGCATAGGGAAAGCGATCCCCTAATTGAACGGCGAGATGTTCCTCGTGATTTATTTCTTACTGAGAAGAGTTACCGGGCTTATGGTCTCCAAGGAGATAGAAGGAATGTGATACCGGCCTCTCATGTTAATACCACCCTGGATCCTTATGAGAGGGATTATGAAAGAGACCTTCATCATGTGGACCCTCTCTACCCTTCTCACAGAGAAAAATTTCATGCCAGCCATCGCCATTTGAATGAGAACGAACACCATACCTATTTGCGTGGTGGAATTTCTGACCACGCAGATGATCCTTATCACCCATATCGCTACCGTGCTTCACCAAGGGATCCATATTTGCCACCTAGAGAGGAAATCACTTCAAGCTCTTATTTGGCCGGGGGAAGAAGCTTGATTCGAAGTGAAAGCTTACAAAGGAGAGAACCTGTGCAGGATAGACTTTACTCCACATATTCTGCTGCCGATGCTTTGTCTGAATACAATAGGATGCAGCACTATCAAGAGAGTTTGGAAGCTACAGCTGTGCCTGTTTCTTCCCGTTACTCTTTTGCTGGTCCTTCATATTCACTTCGCTAAATCAAACAAACACTTCTGATATCCCCTATAATCTGTTCCTTAAGACAATCATCCATTGTGATGACTGACTCAATTGCACTAAAAGGACTGTATGAATCCTACATACTTTTTTTCTTAGGCAACACTCTGAACTGGGAAAGCATCATTTCTTCACTGTGTTTGAGATTGGATGTCCAAAGTAGCATTGATAAGTTATGACAATTTGTCTACTGACACCCTCACAATTTGTGATTTATGGCTAATTTGCATGTGCTGCCTGGCTTTTAGAAAGATAAACAAGCAGCGTTTCAATGGATTTTTTCAAGTCACGATGTTATGCTATGCAAGCTTAAAATTTATGTAGGATCCGTTTGGACACTGTATGAATGTGTGGATACCCTGTATAACTTTCAGTCTCTGTCTAAAATATATACTGCTTTGCCAATGTTTTCATGACCAGAATAGTTAACCTATGAAGAAACTTCAGGTTTAAAGATTGCTTTAAATGATATGCATGATTTAAATTTGATCGCCTGTGAACTATGCTGAGCTTGGGGATGGTGTGAATCACACTGAACCCCATTGGTAAGAGCGTATAAAGTGGAAATAGAGAAGATAGTTTTAGTTTCGCATATATTAAATGTCAGTAGTTTTCTTTTGTAAAATAGTGACAAATAAAAAAGTTCAAAATAAATTTCTCGTCTTTTTATATTCTCTTTCATTTATTTATTATTTTATTTTAATCTCTCAAAATTATTTATCAAAATTCCACATTTTATATATTAAATAAAAATAAAGATAGGAAGGTAATTCCATATCTAAATAGGTTAGAGATATTGGATTTACAATATAAATATAATTAAATCTTTGTAACTTTCACAATCTCGAATAAATAAAATAAATTTGTGTACACTCATACAACTTAAAATGAAAATGTGATACCAGTAACAAGCATGACCAATGGAAATATAAATAATTGTAATATAAAATGCAGAACAAGCATTTTATTTATGAAACTGAATATTTGCAGAACATTGTGACACCAGTAACCTGACACAAACTGAATATATATATATATATATATATATATATATATATATATATATATATATATATATATATATATATAATAATAATAATAATAATAATAATTTATTTTTGTTTTTAAAAAGATAGATGTCATACTTTATATCGTATTACCGCGGTATCTTAAATCATATAAATATCTTATATTTTTCTCTATGATAAATATAATTAAAAAAAGTTTAATTAATAAAAACATAATTAATTTTAACTTTTATAAATATCGTATATTTAATTTTTTTCAAAATCGACATTTACAAAAAGAACAGATGGAGTAGTAGTAACTTTTAAAATATAAAACACATGTTTGAATTTCAATGTTTTTGTATCTAAAGAGAAAAACATTGTTTATGATATATTAAAAAATAATTTACATTATAGCCATTTAAAATCATGATTATGATGTATAGTTCTTTTAAAAAGTATAACGTTAAAATTTAATTATTTGATGGAAAATAAATGGTATTATTAAAAATGGATAAAGATTCATTGTTGATAATATATTAAAAATTAAACAAAAAAATCAAATGTAAATATATTTTATTATCATATTTATATAAAAGATTAAAGACACTACTTAATTGAATAGAATATATTGTTCTCAATTTAAACATTATTTATTTTTTTAATTGTCTTAATCATTTTATCTTTAGTATAAGTTAAATGATAAAATTAAAAAGAGAACACTAAATAGAAGTAACAACAAGTTTTACTCAGATCATCACAGAAACATATAGTTTTAGAGACATAAAAAATATATAAAAAGAACCAATTATTATAAAAAGTGGAAACATTCAAACAAAAAAATTATCTTGGAAAGAGACTATTTTAGAATTTAAATTTAAATACATAAAAAAAAACAAATCCTATAACAAAGAACTAATCTTTATTCATTTACTAAAACATTATTGTCTTTTTGTTTATATATTTTAATTTGATTATTAATGTTTAATCTTTAAATGTAGTCTTAAATACAAGATATCTAGCATGTAAAGAATGAGTAATTTTATAAAAATATTAAAAAATTCAAAATGGTTTAAATATTAAATAAATTTTATATGAGTTTTTCTTCGATGTTATATAAATTTAAATAAATGTTAAATTATAAAATTTATTATGAGGTCTATAAAAAGTTATTTAATATATCTTAAAATAAGATTTACTATTTAAATAAACATTGAATAAAACTTTATATCTTAAATGACACGAAAAAATTCATCAAATATAAAATATTATATTAATGGTAATTTTTTTTTAATCACTATTTTTCCTTTTATTTACGTAAGCGTTAAGAAAACAGATTTTCAATTTTAACAAAAAACAAATAAATCCTTTAGTTATATTTTTTTATTCGTATGTATTTACGAATAAATCAATTATATCATTATAAAATATATACTTATGTTTTAAAATATTTATACAGAAAAAGAAGCCTGGTTTATTATTTCTTCTGTATCCATAAAATGTTTTGAAGGGACCTGAAATATGAGGAATAAGATATCGTTACTGTTAAGAGTTGATTCGGAAATGGTGGTGGCAAGCCCATGGACAACATTTGTTGAGTTGGAATTGGAGCCAACAAAAGATAGCAACTTTATTCCCAAGACATTTACACCAGCTACTAAGGAATCAGATGCATATCAGAATTTGATGCACTGATTATGACTTACATTGGAGTTTGAGTGACATTGCTGCATATTGGGTCAAATCAACATAAAGGGTTCCTTCCAGAATCAACCAATGTAGGGTTTCTTTGGCCAGGTCAATAATTCAAAAAGACCCGTTTATACCACTGATTCTAGTGATAGATGTTTTTTACTTATAATAACTTTTATATGATATATTTGTTTTCTTACCTTATGATATTTTTGCTTTATTAAATAGTTATTTAATTTAGCACATGTTTTAGGGACAATTATTTTTATAACTCTTTTCAAGAGGTATTATTCAGAAAACATACAAACAAATTATTTCTTTAAAATAAATCAAACCAGTACTGCAATTTTCCTTGATGAAGACAAGCAGCATGATTATGAAGAAAGTGGAACATCATGATCATAATGTGAAGAGGCTACAATTATTTTGAAAGACAACTCACTCAACCCAACTTGTTCAATTATAAGTTTGACTTTTACTTCGATCTATTGAGAAATGATTGTTTGGTCCACCATCACCACCACATGTTAATGCTTCTGGTCAATTTTTTACAGTTTTTTAAATTGTTTTCAACTCTCAATTGAACTAGTGTTCAGTTGTAGGCTCTTCCTTAACTTAAGCTCAACAATATGGAGCATATTTGATGCGACAGGAAAGTTTGGTTCTAATGGCAAATATATTACGTGAAGGAGCCTCTTCATCTTCTGGTTTTGAACGTGGATGGACTTATGATGTGTTTTTGAGTTTCAGAGGTGAAGATACAAGGAGAAGCTTTACAGGCTCTCTATATCATGGTTTGCGCCAAAGGGGTATCAATGTTTTTATGGATGATGAGAAGCTTAGGAGAGGGGAAGAGATATCCCTTGCTCTTCTTGGAGCCATTGAAGAGTCTAGGATTGCTATCGTTGTGTTCTCTCAAAACTATGCATCTTCCACATGGTGTCTTGATGAGCTTGCAAAGATCCTTGAGTGTTACAAAACAAGGGGACAACTTGTGTGGCCAGTTTTCTTTCATGTGGACCCTTCAACGGTGCGCCATCAGAGAGGAAGTTTTGAGACAGCAATGGCTAAGCATGAAGTTAGATTCAAGGGTAATGTAAAAAAGTTACAAAAGTGGAAGAGAGCCTTGTTTGAAGCAGCCAATTTGTCAGGTTGGACCTTAGAATATGGGTATGTAACTACTAGTATTCAGCATCTGTTTTATTTACCAGTTTTTCCTGTTATTCATGTGTTTGGTTGTACTTCTTAGTTCTATCATGGTTGATTTAATAATACATAAACAGCCATTAAGTCAAGAATCTATTATTTTTCTTGCTAATAAGTGTTCAAAGGTTTTAAAAAACATTGACTAACCGTGATTTTAACCACGTTTTCAAGTTTTTTTTTTTTTTTTTTTTTTTTTTTTTTTTTTTTAGTCTAAGACCGTGATAAGACCACAATTTTGGTCATGTTTGTTTGTAAGTTTCTTATGATGCCAGTTTAAACCTTAATGAGAATTGAGAAAACATTTTTCTTCTTTTGTTTCTTTAAACTGTACTAAGAAAGATTACTATTCATTAGCATTTTCCATATTAACATACTAATGTCTAATATCATATTACAGAGGAAAGGGAATTTTCCTAAGCATTTTTTTTTTTTTTTTACCTTTATAACTTTCAATTTCCTCACACTATATATTATGGGGAACTTGTTACTTGGCAGGTATGAATTTCAGCTTATCCAAGAGATCATTGAGGAGGCCTCTAGAAAATTAAACCACACCATTTTGCACATTGCTGAATACCCAGTTGGAATTGAGACTCGTATATCAGAAGTGATGTCCCTTTTGCATATTGGACCAGGTGAAGATATTCGTGTAATTGGAATCTATGGACTTGGAGGCATAGGGAAGACAACAATAGCAAGGGCCTTATACAACTTGATTGCTGGACAATTTGAAGCTACAAGTTTCCTTGCTGACATAAGAGAAAGTTCAAATCAGAGACAAGGCTTAGTGCAACTTCAAGAGTCACTTCTTTTTGACACAGTTGGGGACAAAAACATCAAATTAGGAAGCATTTATAAAGGAATCCCTATTATCAAGAAAAGGCTTTGTTGCAAAAAAGTACTTCTGATTCTTGATGATGTTGACAAGTTGGAGGAGCTTCAAGCATTAGCAGGAGGACGTGATTGGTTTGGTTCTGGGAGTGTGATCATTATAACAACAAGAGATAAGCACTTGCTAGCTGCGCATCAGGTTGACAAAACCTATGAAGTAAAGAAATTAAACCATGATGAAGCTTTTGAGCTGTTCACCTGGAATGCCTTCAAAAGGAAGGCACCTGATGCAAGCTATTTGGAGATTTCTAACCGCGTGGTGCTTTATGCTGAGGGGCTTCCACTGGCTTTGAAAGTAATGGGGTCTAATTTGTTTGGTAAAACAGTAGAAGAATGGAAATCTGCATTGGGAAAATATGAAAAGATTCCCAGCAAAGAGGTTCAAAGTGTACTAAGAGTAACCTATGATAATCTAGAGGAGAATGAGAAGGAAATTTTCCTTGATGTAGCATGCTTCTTCAAAGGGGAGACAGTGGAATATGTAGAAAAGACACTGCAAGCTTGTGGGTTTCATCCAACCTTTGGTATCAGTGTACTTATTGATAGATCTCTTGTTATTATTGATGAATATAATAGATTGAAAATGCATGATCTGATACAAGACATGGGAAGGGAAATCGTTAGAGAAGTTTCACCATTAGAGCCTGGAAAGCGGAGTAGATTGTGGTTTCATGAAGATATTCTAGAAGTGCTCACTGAAAATACTGTAAGAGTCATACGTGTGTTAGTTATTTTATTGGTTCACATATTGATTTAAGTGTAACAGGCATCCATTATCAGTATAAAGTTTTTTGCTTTATAACTCAATGTAAAGATATTTTTAGTACAATTTTTACATTAGTTATTATAAAAGTTATCAAACTTACCATATGATGGTTTGACATTAGAAGATGGTGTAAAATACATTTACAATGTGAATGAACATATCATTTTTTTTTCATATTCTCCTTAGTTTGTTTGATGAAGTGATCGGTTAAACTTTACAACATAACTGTTAAATACTTGAATCAAAATCTCTAGCTTAATGTAGTTTCATGTGTGCTTTGGTTTAAAAGGGGACTTCCAGAGTTCAAGGCATGATGGTGGACCTCCCTGATGAATATATGGTGCACTTGAAAGATGATTCCTTCAAGAAGATGAAAAATCTTAAAATTCTTATTGTTCGAAATGGACATTTTTTTGGCAGCCCCCAACATCTTCCAAACAACTTAAGGTTGCTTGACTGGATGAAATATCCTTCATCGTCTTTACCATCTAGTTTTCAACCCAAGAAACTTGTTGTACTCAACTTGTCATGCAGTCGTTTTACAATGCAAGAGCCATTCATGGTAAGGTTTCAGTTTTTTATGGTAGCATTTCTTTGTTTCTTTTCTCACATAACTTGAAATTATGCTAAACTAGTTTTCTCTTTGCAGTATTTGGATTCCTTGACTTCTATGGACTTGAGTTCCTGTGAATTGTTGACAAAACTACCTGATATTTCAAGAGTCCCTAATTTAACAGAAGTAAATCTTGACTATTGTACAAATTTAGAAGAGGTTCATGAATCTGTTGGATTCCTTGAGAAACTTGTTGAGTTCAGGGCTTATGGATGCACCAAGCTTAAGGTTTTTCCAAGTTCCATCAGGTTGACATCATTGAGAAGTCTTATCCTTAATTGGTGCTCAAGCCTTCAAAACTTTCCCGCTATTTTGGGGAAAATGGATAACCTCATGTCAATTTCTATAGAAGGAACTGGTATAAAAGAATTGCCTCCTTCCATTGGAAACCTTGTTGGACTTCAAGAATTAAGCATGACATCTTGCTTAAGCCTCAAGGAACTGCCTGACAACTTTGATATGCTTCAAAGTCTTACAAACCTTGATATGGAAGGTTGTCCACAACTTCGAAACTTTTTGACAAAGTTGACAAACATGGGTGAATCTACCCTTACCTTTGGTAACATTCGATCACTGAATCTCGAAAAGTGTGACCTTATAGATGATGATCTTCCCATAATTTTCAGTAGTTTCCCAAAATTATCATCAATAGTCCTCTCGGGAAATAATTTTATGGCTCTTCCAAGCTGCATACAAGAATTTCCTTGCTTGGAATTACTTCACTTGGACGACTGCAAGAAACTCCAACATATTTCAATATTTCCTCCTAACATACAGTACATCAATGCAAGAAATTGTACATCATTGACTGTAGAGTCATCAAATTTATTATTGAGCAAGGTTTTCATATTTTTTTTCCTTATATCTCCTAAGCTTGCTTAGTCACCACGCATTTTTACTTGAAAATCTTTCTTTTGTAGGAGGCTTTTGAGGGATGGGAATTACAAGTTATCGTGCCTGGTACAAGGGTTCCAGAATGGTTTGACCACATCACCGAAGGAGAATATATGACATTTTGGGTACGTGAAAAGTTTCCAGCAATTATCATATGCTTTGTTCTTGCGGTTGAGAGTGAAATGAAGAATAGTTTCAATTGTGAAATTCGCTTTTATATAAATGGTGAGGAAGTTTATGAATTGGAAATCCCAAGAGTCTTTTCAGATATGGTGACAGATCATGTGTGGCTTTGTGACTTGAGAACTCATCCACCCATCCACCGGCTTAGTCTTGATTTATATCTAATGGATGGTTGGAATCAAGTTGAGATTTTATGTGCGAAGATAAGTGGAGCATCAAATGTGACTGTGAGTTGGTGTGGAGTTCATGTGTGTAAGCAAGAAGCTATCATGAATGATATACTTTTTACAGATCCTGATCCAGATTTAGTAGATTCAAGCAGACACTCTGAGAAGATTGATACAAATTTAGACTCAGGGAGTGAAAAAAGCACGAAGTCAACAGAAGGTTCCCAATATTGCAAGAGAGGAGATGATAACAGCTACAATTTCAATAACTTGGAAGGTTGTG